CCCCCGGGGGGCCCCCGGGAGGCCCCCAGGGGCCCCCCAGTTTGCTGCCAGCAGCAGCAGCGCGAGGTAAGTGCATGTGGACAAATAAATATTCCTTAGACATATGCAGAAAAAGAATTAAAAGAAGCATAGGGAGTCTCACTGATTTCCGCACAGACGGGCTGGCCTTGCTGCTGCAGCTGCTGCTGCTGCTGCTGCTGCTGCTGTTTGGGGACGCAGCAGCGCGGGAAGACCGAAGGGCAGACGGCGCCCGTAAAGGAGACAGAGACACCTGGGGGCCCCCCTGGGGGGCCCCCTGGGGGCCCCTCAAGCCTGCAGCCAGCAGCAGCAAAGTAAAACAATTGCATATATAACATAGAAATATGTATACATATAAATATATATATATATGTATATATATATATCTCTGAGGGGCCCCTAGGGGGCCCCCTAGCTTGCTGCCAGCAGCATCACTTCGAAGCAAATGCATGTGCAACATATATGTAGCCAAAAGCTCTTCGGGGGCCCCCAGGGGTCCCCCGGGGGGCCCCCGGGAGGCCCCCAGGGGCCCCCCAGTTTGCTGCCAGCAGCAGCAGCGCGAGGTAAGTGCATGTGGACAAATAAATATTCCTTAGACATATGCAGAAAAAGAATTAAAAGAAGCATAGGGAGTCTCACTGATTTCCGCACAGACGGGCTGGCCTTGCTGCTGCAGCTGCTGCTGCTGCTGCTGCTGCTGCTGCTGCTTGTGCTGCGCTTGCTGGGCTATGTGATGGGTGGTGTTAACGCGGCGTTTCTGGGACAAATCCAGATGCTGCTGCTGCTGATGCAGGTGCTGTTGCTGCTGCTGAGAGGGTTCTTGCTGCCGCTGCTGCTGCTGCTGCTGCTGCTGCTGCCGCTGCTGCGCAGCCCCTGCGCTGCTGTATCGCCTCACAGGAATACCCTTGTGGTGAGGGCTCTGCAGCGTCGGGCGAGAGAAGGTGGGGGGCGTGCTGGGGGTTCTGGGCGAAGGCGAAAGCTGCTGCTGCTGCTGCTGCTGCTGCTGCTGCTGCTGCAGGAAGGATCTGTGGCTGGAAAGCTGCTGCGGTGTCTTTGCACCTCCAGCACGCCCGCTATCCGGAGGGCTTCTAGGTGGGCTGACGAGAGCAGCAGCAGCGGCTGCTGCTGCCGCTGCTGTTGGCGCTGTAGTTGCTGTTGCTGTTGCCGGCGCTGCTGCTGCTGTTGTTGCTGCTGCAGCTGCTGCTGCAGTGGTCTGGGACGGCACCTGTTGCTCAGAAACCTTCTCGACCGGCGCTGCGTTTGTGGCAGTGCTTTGCTGCAGCAGCAACTGCTGCTGCTGCTGCGCGTGCTGCTGCTGCTGCTGATCCTGCTCCTGTTGCACTTTCTGCAGCTGCCGCTCCTGCTGCGCCGGCTGCTGCTGCTGCATGCACTCTGTGTAGTGCTGAGGCTGCTGCCGCTTGCTCCCGTGCTGCAGGAGCAGCAGCTTGTTACTGACCCTGTGAGGGGAGAACTTGCTGCTGCTGCTGCTGCTGCTGCTGCTGCTGCGGGCAGCAACTAACCGAGCCGAAAGCTGGGGAGAAATCTCCGCGGACCAGCGAGAGCTCTTGAGCTGTTCAATAGCAACTTCCATTCGGTGCTGCAGAGAAGTTCGGGAAAAATAAAATAAAATAAAATAAAATAAAATTAAATTAAATAAAGCAAAAATAAAAATAAAGCAGATGCAACTCTTCTGTTTAAAGATGGATTTTAAAATTTTAAAAATTGATTTTAAAATAATTCTAATTGCCTTTATAGGCTTTTGTGCATGCGCCTGCATGCGCATGCAGCAGAGTAGATGGAGAGGCTTGTTAATCGAGTAAAAAGGCAAAATAAATCAATTTATTGCGAATTATTAATTTAATTTAATTAATTAAAATTAATAAATTGCTGCGCACTTGTTTGCTCGTGAGGAAATCAATTTGTTGCTGCAGACAGAACAGCAGCAACGGGGTGTATAGGCAGCTCGCGTTGCTGCTGGGGTGTACGGACAGCTCCTGGGGTGTATAGGCAGCTCCGTCTATTTTCTTTTTCTCCCAGATCTTCCTTCACTCTTTTTGTTTCTTGTTTTCTCTCAACTGTTTGCTAAACCCTAGCAGGGTTTGTAATCCCCAAACCACGTCCTAAACCCTAAACCCTCGGCCGTTTTCTAAACCCTAAACCACTGTCTAGAACCTCGCTTTCGTTAAACCTTAGGCTGTTTGCTAAACCCTAAAAAGGCTGCTAAGGGCTAAGTTGCTTCGTTAAGTTAAAAATGATACTCCGACTTTTCTTATAAACCCTAAACCCTAAACCCTTTTGTTATCTGCAGCTTTCAATTGCATCTAAACCCTAAACCCTGAAGCCTGGACGCTGCTTCTACCTGAAGCACCTGAGTAGACTGCAAAACCTAAACCCTAAACCCTAAACCCTAAACCCTTGCCCTTTAGTTACCTGCAGAGCCTGAATAGATTTGGCCAAGTCGCCGACGCCGGCAGAAGCCTTTTCGCTGGACTGAATGGCACGCAGCTTAGCGCCCTACAAAAACACAAAAAAGGGTCTGGGGTTTAGGGTTTAGGGCGCGAAAGTGGGGCCTGCTGCTGCGGAAGCAGCAGCAAATAAACAGTTCTTTTAGGGTTTTGCTGCAGCAGCAAAACAACAACCCCACCTTTACGAGGTCCAGCTCAGTTTTGATCTTTTGCACTTCTTCTTTAACTTCTTCCACGGCTTCCTGCGAAGCGGCTTGCTGCTGGAGCAAGAAAGCAGCAAGAAGGCGAAAAATAAAGAGGTTAAAGAGAAAAATGAGATAATAAATAAATTACAAGTTAATTAGAGAATGTAAAACTAAATGAATAACAAAAAAGCAACAAAAAGAAACAAAAAAGCCGAAAAAACCAAAATTGCAGCAAGTGCAGCTGCCTATACACCCCAGCGCATGCATGCAGAGCTGCCTATACACCCCAGCGCATGCATGCACAGCCGGCTGCCGGGGTGTATGTCCACCTGGCGCTTTTGAACAGTTTTTGTCAAGTTTTGGAAATCTTCTTTCAGTTGTCGAAACTCAACAACTCTCGACAAGTCCGGAGCTTTAGCCTGCAGCAGCAGCAGCAGCAGCAGCAGCAGCAGCAGCAGCAGCAGCAGCAGCAGCAAAAAGATTTCGAAAAAGAGAATTTTGAGTCGAAATAAATGAGCAAAGACCAGAGACAAATGATTGAAAAAAGACAAAAGGGGAAAAGGAAACAAAAGGATAAATGCAAAAACATTTGAATGAAATTAATAAATAAATTCAGAAATAAAGAAATTGCAAAAACTCTCTTTTGCTGCTGCCTCCACTGCGTCCACCATTAACGGCAGCAAACCCACTTCTTGCCGCTCCCGCCCTCGCTGCTGCCCCACGCATAAACCCTAAACCCTAAACCCTAAACCCTAGACCGTGTAGCCAGCCAGCGCTGTGCCCTGTAGCCAGCCAGCATTGTGCCCTTCACTCCAGTTCAGGGTTTAGGGTTTAGGGTTTAGGGCTCGGGCTTCACAGTGTGAAGATGACGTTTAGGATTTAAAGTCGGGGCCGTTAGCGGGGATTGAGGGTTTAGGGTTTAGGTTTTAGGGTTTACAGCTTTTTGCAGTTGGTGGATCTGGGCGGCCTGCTGGTGAGCCTGTGCGCGTATCTGCTGCAGCTGCTGCTGCAGCGCTGCTGCTTCGGCTGCGCTGCTGCTGCTGCTGTTGCTGTTGCTGCTGAGTTCTTTCAAAGAGACAAAAATCTGAGAACAGCTTTTCTTTAAAGCAGCAACTTCTTCTCTTAATGCTTCCAAAGCTTCCTGCGAGCAGCAGCAAAGGAAGCAGCAGCAAAGAAAGGGTTTTAGTAGGCAACAGCAAAAGTGCTGCAGCAAAGCCTAGTGAGCCGAGCCGCCGCTGCAGCAGCAGGGTGCTGCTGCTGCTGCTACTGCTGCTGCTGTTGCTGGTGCTGGTGCTGCTGCTGCATGCAATTCACAAAAAGGCATTTTGAGAAAGGAATTAAATGAGTTTAATTTGAAAAAGAAAAAGAAAAATCAAAAGATCTTGCCTCAGCAGCACGAAGTCTCTTTTGGTCTTTTTCTTCTTGGGATTTCTTCCTGCTGCACTCGAGGCCCATTTGCTGCTCGAGGTCCCCCAGGGCCCCCCGCAGCAGCAGCAGCTGCTCTTCTGCTGCTGCGCTGCTGGCCCGCAGCAGCAGCAGCTGCTCCTCTGCTGCTGCGCTGCTGGCCCGGAAAGCCCCAAAGTCCCCCTCAAGTGCATGCAGCTGCGAGCGCTGGCGGGCCAGCAGCCCCCGCAGCTGCAGCAGATCTGCAAGCAGCACTTCAAAACTTTTTCGAATTTTTAATTTCTTTTCCAACACTTTTCCAAACTTTTCCTCCTTTGCTTTTGCTGCTAACAAAAGCTGCCTCAGCTGCAAAAAAAAACTGCATTTATAGAGGCTCTGCATGCGCCGAGTTGCTGCTGCTGCTTCTGCCGCAGCAGCAGCAGCAGCAGCAGCGGCAGCAACAGCAGCAGCAACTGCAGCAGCAGCAAACTGCAGCAGCAGCAACTGCAGCTGCCGCAGGCAAGCGCGAAAGGAGAAAGGGAAAGGAGGCAGAGGCCGCCTCCAGGACTCCCAGTTAGGGTCTAGGGTTTAGGGTTTAGGGTTTAGGGTTTAGGGTTTTACCTTCTGCGTTGAGGCGCTTCAAGTCTGCGCTCAAAACCCCCACTTCGAGGAGCCACTTTTGGTGAAGTTCTCCAGATCTTTTTAAACACTTTTTGATTTCTTTTTCGATTTCCTTTTTAATTTCTTTTTCAACTCCTTTTTCAATTTCTTTTTCGACTCTTTCTTCAACTCCTTTGCACTCCAAACCCTCCTGCTGCGGCTGCTGCAGGCAGCTCACTTGGCCCTTCAGCCCTTGCGACACACCCTAAACCCCAAACCCTAAACCCTAAACCCTAAACCCTAAACCCTAAACCCTAAATTTTAAACCCTAAATCCGTAGTACTGCCGTGTTCGGTGCGCAGTTTCGTGCATGTAAGTGTTCCTAGTGGAATTTCAAGACCCAGTCCTAACCCTAAACCCTAAACCCTAAACCCTAAACCCTCTACGCTAAACCCCAAACCCTAAACCCTGAACCGAATGGCCACGAGTGCGCGTTTTACCTCAGTGGTAAATACGACAGGACACACAATGAAAGCCATGGAATCTCGAATTCAGGGTTTAGGGTGCCTCAAAGGGTTTAGGGTTTAGGGTTTAGGGTTTAGGGTTGTCTTCAGCATTTGGATTAGGGTTTAGGGTTTAGGGTTTAGGGTTTAGCGTGCTTTCCAGTCCTTCAGGCTCTAGGGCGCTCGGTTCCGAGGTGAGCTTGCCCCCTGTGTGCTTAGGGTTTAGGGTGCAGGCCCTAGGGTTTAGGGTTTAGGGTTTGGGGTTTACCTTCTAGGTCTTTGATAATGACATCGAGCTCGGAAACAACAGCCCGCAAGTGAGAAGAGCAGCAAGAGGGGCGGCGAGGGTTTTCCACAAACCCTAATTCCATATACTCCAAATCTGAGACAGCCATTTCAGTTCAAGCTGCTGCTCCAAACCCTAGCTCTGCTGCAGCAGCAGCCTCGCGGCTGCTGCGGGCTTCGGCGCGGAGACAGCAGCAGCAGCGGCAGTAGCAGTAGCAGCAGCAGCTGCTGCTGCTGCTGTGCCGCTGCTGTTACTGCTGCAGCCGCTGCCGCTGCTGCTGCTGCTGTGCAGGTGCCGCTGCTGCAGCCGCTGCTGCTGCTGCTGCTGCTGCACTGTGCAGAAGTGGGGGGGCGAGGGAGCTGCTTAAGGACGGCAAAGGGCTGCTGCGGAGCTGCAGCGTGACCAGTGGACCACAGGGCTGGTTTGCTCTCCGATGCAGCAGCAGCCACCACTGCTGCTGCTGCTGCTGCTTCAGCCCGATCTATTAATGAAAACTGCAGGCTTCTAGCTGAAGCAAAGAGAAAAATTGGAAATAATAAATCCAACAAAAAACGAAAAGAAGATCTTTTCAGTTCCAGTCCATCTGCGCGGATCTGCTGCAGCTCCTGCTGCTGCAATGCCACCCGATCCGCGGGTTCTGTGCGCTCAAGTGCTGAAAAAAAGCAGAAAAGTAAAAGAAAAAAGAATAAAAGACTTTAAAGTCTTTATATATTTATATTTAATATCTAATGTGCTATATTTCCACAGAATCCTCCCAGGGGCCGCTCGCTGTCTTCGCGTCGATGGGCAACGGACAGGCTGCCCGGGCTGGGCGGCGGCGGCGGAAATGGCCGGAAAAACAAGAAAGGTTTATTCTTTTAAAGTTAAATTGATGAAAACAATTTATTTGAAGAAAAAAGAAGAACAAAATAAAGTCCAGGAACGCATAGACAGACCCGTTTTCACTCTAGGCTGCTGCGGCGAAACGCAGCGGGCGTTCACTGTCTCGCGGTGTACGTACACCCCAACGACCGCAGCAGAAAAATCGCCATTTCGCCTTTTCTCCAGTTCTTTTGCGCAGATCTTTTAATTGTTTTGCGCGAATCTTTTAATTTATGAAAAACGTATTCAGTTTTTAGCGGATTTCCCGCCGAGATCGCGAGGAAAACGAAATTCAACTTGCATGAATGGGCTCCCGCCGCCGCGAACGCTGACAGCTTCCACGCCTCTAAAAAGCAGCTCCAAAACTTTTTTTAAAAAATAAAAATAGATTTAAAGAAATGCATTATAAGGGAACACTCAAACTCGAGAAGTTCAGCGCTGCGGCTGCGTAGCCGAGGCGTTCAACTCTAAACCGTAAACCCCAAATGAGCGGTTGCAAACCCTGAACCCTCAACGCGGGAGCTGCACTCCTCCACAAACCCTAATGAGTTCTTGCAGCCAAAAAGCTGGGTTTTATTTGTTCAAAGTTTCGCAAGATTGGCTCTTTTATCGCCGCATTGGTAAATGCAATAAAAGATAACTACAAGTTCCTTTACATGCAATTCAAATAAGGCAATTTACTGCTGCTTCCAACTCGCTGGCCCAGAGCCTCTAGGCAGAGAAAACTGCAGCTAGCTGCGGCTAGCTGTGGCTAGCTGTGGCTGGCTGCAGCTAGCTGTGGCTAGCTGCGGCTAGCTGTGATTAGCTGTGGCTAGCTGCGGCCAGCTGTGGAAACACTCATTGTAGGGGCCAGAATACAATGGCTCTGTAGCTGCCGCACTCGCTAAGTGCTGCTGCACTGCTGCAGCAGCAGCAGCAGCGAGCAGCAGCAACGGCAGCGAGCGACAACAGCAGCAGCGAGAAGTAGCAACAACAGGTGTGGAGGGCTATAGCCTCCTCTTATTGCTTTTCAGTTTTGCGGCTGCTGCTGAGAAGCCGTCCGCCAGCGAAGCCCAAAGCGAAGCTCTAAACTTTAAACCCTAAACCCTAAACCCTAAACCCTAAGCCCTAAACCCTAAACCCTAAACCCTGGCGGTTTGTCTCTTTCCTACGGCTTTAACCGCCGCAAGGCCTACGGACTAAAAGGAAAGCTTTCAAAGATATGAAGAGCCTCTACCTGGCTTCATTGCA